TAAACTCAACAACCAAAATGACATGGAATAAATTAACAGAATATACAACTCTTTGTACAGACAAATTAAAAAATAAGGCAGAATTCTCATTTAAAATTAGCATAATCAGAAAAGATGTCGATGAAATCTTGTACCACTCTGTAGCAGAATTCATACTGTTCCTGAAAAACAAGAAAAACACATCAAAATTTGTTTGGATTGTGTTGTCTAATTACATTCAGACTTCTGCAAATCCCAGTCGTAAATGTAACATATTCTAGCTGGGACCAGTAGCTGAGGACTGGTCTGTTGTGATTTCTATCTATGTATTTATTATTTTAAATTTTAAAAAATGTTATCTTTCTTTTTTATCAAATACAGGATGATGCTCTTCAGTTAAAATTAATTCTTTAAGCTTTCTTGGTGATGCTCCTTAACCTGAATCCATTCTTAAACCTGGTTCTCATTCAAATCCAGCAGCTCGTGGTCCCTGCTATCACTGGTCTCCTGTTACAGCAGGAAACTCCTCTTGAGCATTTCCCAGGGAGAATCATGGAATCAGAATCTTGGAATGGTTTGGAAGGGACCTTAAAGTTCATCCAGTTCCACCCTGTGCCACGGACAGGGACACCTTCCACTAGCCCAGGTTGCTCCAAGCCCCGTCCCAAACTGGCCTTGGACACTCCCAGGGATGGGGCAGCCACAGCTTCTCTGGGCAACCTGTGCCAGGGCCTCACCACCCTCACAGGGAAGGATTCCTTCCCAATATCCCATCTAACCCTGCCCTCTGGCAGTGGGAAGCCATTCCCCCTTGTCCTGTCCCTCCAAGCTCATGCCCAAAGTCCCTGTCCTGCTCTTGTGGAGCCCCTTTAGGCACTGGAAGGGGCTCTAAGATCTCCCTGGAGCCTTCCCTTCTCCAGGTGAACACTCTCAGCTCTCCCAGCCTGTCTGTTATCCAGCTGGCTGGTCCTCTCCATCCTAAAGAGGGACACATCCTCATTTTCCAGGCACGCTGATATGCCTTCAACAAGATTTGCTGGATTACAAACCCTGTAACAACACTGATAACAAACAGAACTGGCATCTGAATTCCCTCATGCTGGAAAGCTGAGTTCAGCAGGAGCCCTCCCAGGCTCAGCTGGGAATATCTGTGGCAATTACACCCTCAACTGACATTATTAAATCCCAGAGCCAGACCCCAAAAAAAACATTTCATCCCTGTCTCAGCGTGACTGTGGATAATCAAATTCCCCTTTCTTCCCATCTGTAGGACAGAGAAAACATCCACCTGGAAAAGGGGGTTTGAGATAATTGTGTCTAAAGAAGTTTCAAAGTGCTGAATGAAAGCTGCCATGAAAATACTAAATATCAGTATTTTTAAATATTTAAAAACTAAAAATCTCAAAAAAACTTTTTAATGTTTATTCAGCAGGAAAAAGTATCTGAACTAGGCTTCACATATTACTTGTAGATGACTTCACAGAAGACTTTAAGAAGTTTTTAAACAAGTCAGAGACATTTCCAGGGACTCCCCATCCCTGGAGTGTTCAAGGCCAGGTTGGACAGGGCTTGGAGCAACCTGGTCTAGTGGAAGGTGTCCCTGCCTAAAGCAAGTGAGTGAAACTGGGTAATTCCAAAGGTCCCTTCCAACCCAAACCATTCCATAATTCCATGTTTCTGCCTTCCACTGACCAATTTTGAGCCAATTTATGACCAAATACATTAAGGTAAGAAAGAACAACTGATAAATAGCTTAAAAGACATTTATTTCATTATATATTTTATCATCTGCAACACTAAAGATTTTGCTTTAACTGCCTGAAGTTCCTAGAAGACACAGAACATTTAACCAAGTTGTATTTTCAGAAATGCTATAAAAAGCCCCCTGTAAAAGCCCACATTTCTGATAATACCTTGTACACACACAGCCATCATGCATAATTTACAGCGACCTGCAAGAAAACCCCCTTTGTTCTCCCCCCCAAGAATATTTACAAACAGAAATCTGGGTTGTTAAACATCCTACCAGTGTTTGCACCATGTGTGGCCTTTGCAGTCTTAAGCTCTTCACAGCTTGAAACACATCCAAGAGCCCTTCAGCCTTCACTCTTTCCAGGATGTTGCTCAGTGCTATGAAGGTCCCCGTTCTCCCTGCACCAGCACTGCAAGGAAAACACGTTTGCATGGCATAAACTGGGCTAAAAATGGTAAGAGTGTAATACTAGGGATATAGAATAGCCAAATACACCTATATGGACAAGAATTATTATTATTGATATTTGTTATCATTAGTCCAAAGCTATTTGATGGAAAATGTCCTATCCAACTGTAATGATTTTAATGACTCATGAAACAGTTTGGGTTGGAAGGAACCTTAAAGATCATCTCATTCCACCCCCTGCCATGGGCAGGGACACCTTCCACTAGCCCAGGTTGCTCCAAGCCCCATCCAACCTGGCCTTGGACACTTCCAGGGATGGGGCAGCCACAGCTTCTCTGGGAATTCTATTCCAGCCCCTCACCACCCTCAGAGGGAAGAATTTCTTCCTAATATCTCATCTAAATATCTCCATTATTAGTTTAAAACCACTCCCCCCTTGTCCTGCCTGCATCTGCCTGTGTAAAAGAGATGCATCTCCTTGTGCTCACTTTCCTTCTTTGCTCTGAAAACAGGCTTTTAGCAAATCCTTACAGCCCATACAAATTTAGGTATTCTAATTAATTGAAGAATTTTTTACTATGGAGGCATTTGAAATGCAGGAGAAAAATACTCGTTGTCTCTTGGAGACACAGCACTACTCTTTGCATGCTCACTTCTCTTCCTGCAACTCCCTTTAAAATAAAAGAAGTTAATGAAAGATAAGTTTTAATCTGAGTGAAATTTCATTTTCTGAGACAGAAAGTTAAAAGGTAAAGGACACTCAATGGGCAAAGACTGGGCAAACCCCAGAATTAAGTGGCCTCTAAATAACACAGAAACCTTTTATAGTTCATTAGAGGCAGCTGCAGACAAACACTAGAAGAGAAGGGAGCGAGACCAGACTGAATTTGAACTCTGTTGGCAACTCAGCAAACCCCTTCTAAACTATTTAGGGTTATGCCTTGATTCTATTTAAAAATGATCATTTTTAGCAGCTCCTTAAACTGTTCTTAAATAGCTGGAAAAACGAACAGAATTTTCACAAGTTCATGTGACCACTCTGAAAAAGTCAGACTGAGACTTGAAATGTGTTTAATTATTCATAATGTTACATTCATTTATATTTGAAGACTCAAGTGTGACTTCACAGAGGAATTCAGGTAACTCAAAAGCTGGGAGGTACAGGCTGTTCAAGAGACAATTTTCAACACTAAAAATCCTGAATATATTGTGCAGATTAGGTTTTGTTTTCTTTTTAATCCATTTTAAAAGTAGATTTTTTAAAAAATCAGGAAAAATGCATGCTAATTATTAAACTCAGGTCTAAAAGCTTGTAAAAGTAGAAGCCATAAACAGCACAGCTAATTCTCACAAAACTAATTTGTGCAAGTCAAAGACATTAGTTTTTAATCTCTTAAAGTACTGGTAAGAACTCCTTGATGCTTTACCCACTGTAATTATAATCCAATATTTAAAAACAAGTGTTAAAATTTGTCAAACTGCAGAATCAAACCCAAAATATCTTTACCCCAGAGTGGGGGAACCCTCAGATCCCAAGGGAGCAAAACACTTCCAAGGCAAGGAGGAGGAAGTTTTGGCAATTAATATGTGTTTTTATAAGATCACATCCCCAAAAAAACCCAATAAATCCAAGTTGTGGCTCAAGCTCCCAGGACTTCTTTGCTATATTTGAAAATACAGGTGACTTCAGACAGTCAAACTTAAACCAGAGACTGAGAGAGCACCTTGGAAACTCAAATCAGAGCAAAATAAAAGGCAGTTAATGCTGCCAAGCATTTCTCAGTGGGATCACAGACAGGTGGAAGAAATAGCATGGAATTAATATAACAAGTGTTTTTAAATATAAAATTATTCACAAATTATATTGACGTCCATGTATTGCTGGAAGATGATCAATGGTCCAGGAAAGTCAGTTTATCTTGTAAAACATGCCCAAGAGGAAAAGATTTAAAAGGCCAGAATTTAGGATAAATTAAATAATCCATTTTTGGGGTAATCAGAGACAAAACAAGATTTTTTTTGTGTCATGGTCTTTAGGACTCTGAAACCCTACTGAGCCTATCTCTGTGTACTGTCAACTGGACTTTGTCTGGACCAGAAAACAGAAAAAGCTTTATTGATTTATAAAATTAAAAAAAAAAAA